GATACGGATGGTGACATAAACAAGTATCAAGAAAACTATGCCCTGTTCCTGAAGAGGAAGGTTTTTAGTGGAGAAACCCAGACACTTATTATGAGAACACCTATCCCAATGATAGTAACCTCTCCATACATAACAAAATGGTTAGTGAGTCTCACAACCAGACAAATTAGCACGTGCTCGGGAAGGACCAAAGAAAGACCCATACAATACCAATGGATGGACTAAACAACACAAAGACAGTTGCAATGATAACATCAAAACATAAACAAAAAGATAGAAGTAAGAAGAGAAACATAGATTATTCCCATCCTGATGAGAGCTGATACGTCTAGTGGAAGGAGAACCAACCTAAGGTATAACAAACAATGTTGGTTCTTTTGAACAGATTCTATTCTTGCAAAATAAGAACAAATATTCCTGACCAGACACAGAAATTCAGTCAGATTAAATAACACTATAGGAGAGAAAAATAGCCTACATATCTAGTAAGAAGGTTCTATCAATGTATAAGTACAGAACCTTCCTGAAAAACGTAATAGTGTAAGAAACATCAATGGCTAAAATGTCTGGTCATCTCTTCCCTGAACCAAGTAACAACATAAAATATGTTTGCAGGGAAGGTTGTAGAGTGTACAAGTTACAATAGGTTCAAAAGGAGAAGTTATGCAACTTAAGACCAGACTTATATTGCACTGAGGACAAAGTCTAGGTACTTGTGTGAAAAATAATAACAAAGACAAATAAACTCCAAAATGAACCTGAAAAAGTGGGGATGACATAAATACAACTTCTTCTGCAACTGAAAGTGGCCAAGAGTACAGCTCTGTAGCTTGCAACAGAAGCAGACAAGTCCCAATAATGAAAGAGATAGCTGAAGTAAAATGAGTTGGGCAAGCGAACAAGTTCAAGAAAGAAAAAAAAATTAATTCCACAGGAATCAATGCCAAAAGGTAGACCAACGAGATTAGTACATTGCCTAGAAGGAATCCCTTCAAGGATGTAACAACATTTGAGCCACCCATGAAAAAAAAGCCACCTTTACTAAGAAAGGATTTCATAACATCCAAACATAAAACTGTAGACAACCAAGTCATTGTGGAAGATTTAATGTAATGCACTAGGATCCCTTTCAGATAGATGAAAGGAGTGGAAACCATGTTGGAATAGGCCAGCATGGGGAATAGAATTAACTGGAAAACGAAACTAAATGATCTTGGCCAATACATTAGAAAGAAGATGAATAAGAAAGAAAGAAAAAACCTCCCAAACAGACTCAAAGCATTACTATAGAAGCTGGTCTCAGAACTCAAAACCAGTAAAGCATCAATGATATACTGCTGTCACAAGTGCATCAAGTATAGAACAACTGAACCATTGGCACACCAAAGAAATACAAGTTAAAAAAAAAAGTATGATGTGAATGGCCAAAACAACAAACAAAAAACTGTGAGATTGAGTCCCAACTCTCCCCATTCTGTGAGTACTAAAACAAAATGCTGGTATAAGAAAAGTAAAAGATCCTTACATTCATGTGGAAGAACCCAAATTTTTGAAAATGAGATATCTAAGTAGAATACAGACCCTAGAGATGCAGAGGAGATGGGAAATAAAAGGGGAATCTACAATAGAAAACTCACAAAAGAGGATATGCCTGAGAATAGAGTCCATGAAGGGGTAAGGTGCCACTGACAGTATCTTAAGTAACCATGATCCACCGGTACTGTGGCATAAAGAGAAGCCATCACTCACAAACCAAAGAGAATATGTTTCACAGATTAAGAAGTATGAGCACCCAAAACTTGAGGGTTTGTAAATCCAAAGGAGATGAATGAAATGTTAATATGAAATCTTAGATACTGAGTTAACCCAAGTTGAGACTTGGACTCATGAAAAATCCATCTCACAAAAGAAACTTAATGGGATGTCAATTCAGTGTGAGACAACCACTGATAAAGAATCTTCTAATAATCCTTGTAATCAACACTGCATGTGTGTATAAAACCAGCTAAAGGTTCTATTACGTGTGTGAAGACAGGGTGACAAAGCCAGACCAAAAAAAGAAACACCATAACCCAATAGCAATGATGCCATTTTTAAACCTTTATTCTGTGCATGTTACTGAGTTACATTCAGTTTCTAGCATCGTAAGTTCAAATACATACCGCTGTGCCACTGGGGGGCTAATTAAACCAATTTATTGTCAATGAAATTATTATTATAAAGTACTTTATAATTCAAAGTTTTATATTATATAAGTTTTTATTCCTTTATGTCAAAAGAAACCTCTAAAATAATAATTAAAACTTCACAACGTGTTGCAACCATGGTTAAAAATCTTAACTTTAGATCTATTTAAGAGAAACAAGGGTGAGAATGTAGACTTGTCTTCCTTCAGACAGTCAAAGTACAATATGTAAAGTTGTTTAGACTTAATTTGAGACATTTGTAGAACTAGAGTTGGAGAAAAGACCAATGAAAATTCCATAATCAAAGATAAACCACACCCACTTACAAAGTAGAAGCTCGGTTGCTAAGCGACTGTTTTAAGTTGACTGGCATATTTATAACCAATAGAAAAAGCAATAGAAAGTCCATTGTTGAGAGTGGGTCCCCTAGCATTTGGCTACACTTTCTTCCCTTATTCACATTAGATTGATAGACAGCTAAATTGCATTTAGGTTTTACTTTTATATTTTAATTAATTATCTATTATTTGTGTTTTAAAAGTCATACTTTTATGAGTTTACTAGTTTACTTATTCATCTCCTATCTCATCAAGACTTGTAAACAAAGGATGTCAGCAAAATATTTTGCCCACAGCTATGCATCGCTCCCCAACGGTACGTGATAGTCGACTGCATGCACTTTGTGATGTTTTTGCATAAATGATAAAAGACAAAGAATTAGAAAGGAAAATAAAACATTAAAAATAAACTCAAAGTGATAAACTCAAAGTAAAAAAATGTTCATAATCAACCAATTATTGGCAATATACCGTATT